AACGAAGATTGTGCTTACTTACCAGAGTGAAAGCAAGGAGGAAACGTTGCTTTTTTATTTATATATATATATATATATATATATATATATATATATATATATATATATATATATATATATATATATATAAATGGCATTTTGTTGGAAACCTCTCGGTGAATAATTTTGAGAGCGAATGTTAAATCAGTCAATCAAGGGGTAGCAGATCAATGCATTTAGTCAACATGATATTTTGCAGATGACTGGAATCTAAAGACCTGATGGTCTTTTGGGATTTTCAAGCATTTACAGAGAAAGAGGGGAACATTCAGCAACCAAGAGTTGTGTGAATGACGTGTCCTCAATGATTTCAGAGCTCACAAGAGCTACTGGCAGGAGACAAGTGTGTCAAATAAGAAATCCTATGCAGTTTATATTTAAAATGGCATTAAAGGAATAGTACACCTAAAACATGATTAGCCTTCATTTTCTACTCACCCCCATGCTGAACAACACTCTGGAGTACTTTTTTGATATCTCAAATGCATCTGGAGATCAGGGAGGCTTCTTGCTGTCTGCTGACATTCAAATAATGGAGGTGCCCAGCGCCCGAGGCAGAAAGGTCCATAAAAGTCCACAAAAAACGTTTCAATATTCCTCCATACTGCTCGTCCAATGTATTCCAAGTTTCCTGAGTGGGTAGCCTCCAGAATTTACTCGAAACAAAGTCATTTAGAATGTTTTTAGAGCATAAACAGTAGTGTATAGGATTTCCTGAAAGCGCGCACATGCGCGATCCCGACGCTACGGAAGCCGGCAGACCAAACCAGCGCATTCAGCTCGGCAAAGAACTCATGCTCTTCCTCAACACTGAAGTCCTCAGACATTTTTCTTTCGTTGTTTCTTTCTTTGCACAGGTAAACGGCACATTTCTTCTTCTACGCTTGCATTATTGGAAGAGCAGACGCTGAATGCGCACTTTCATCTGGTTTGGTCTGCCGGCTTCCGTAGCGTCGTGATCGCGCATGTGCGCGCTTTCAGGAAATCCTATACACTACTGTTTATGCTCTAAAAACATTCTAAATGACTTCGTTTCGAGTAAATTCTGGATGCTACCCACTCAGGACACTTGGAATACATTGGACGAGCAGTATGGAGGAATATTGACACGTTTTTTGTGGACTTTTATGGACCTTTCTGTCTCGGGCACCGTAGACCTCCATTATTTGAATGTCAGCAGACAGCAAGAAGCCTCCCAGATCTCCAGATGCATTTGAGATATCAAAAAAGTACTCCAGAGTGTTGTTCAGCATGGGGGTGAGTAGAAAATGAAGGCTAATCATGTTTTGGGTGTACTATTCCTTTAAGTTGGAAAACTTGTCAAACCTTGGAGCAGACTGCCTTGTATAAGTTGAGCTGGTTGGTTAGGTGTAATAGTTTTTGGAATATTTACTTGGCCCACTTTTGGTGACATAGTATCAATTAAACTTGCCTTAATGTATTGCTGCTGACCACTTTTACCCATTTATGATTTTAATCTACAGCTCTATAGATGCCCTGAAGGAAAATCACCCTGTTGCAAAGTTTAAATCAGGGGTGTTAATGTCCAGTCCTCAAGAGCTACTATCCTGCAAGTATTTGATGCACCCCATTTTTAACACACCTGAATCAAATGGGTGGCTCGTTAACGTACCTCTTCTGAGCTAAATGAGGGGATTGAGCCTTTAGATTCGGGTTTGTTAGAGAAGAGATGCATCTAAAAGTTAAAGGATGGTAGCTCTTGAAGACTGGACTTGAGCACACTGGGTTAAATCAACATGAAATTTTTTCATGAATGTAGAAATTATTTCAGTGCGCTTGGATGGTTTTCAGATCCCATCATCATGACTGGATCCCGAACTACTATAGCACCTTTAGGTTGATGTCATGCAGAGATTCATACTTTAGACGTATGGGAGAACAATATTTCAATATCAGTATATGTCATTATATAGTTTCATTCCGTAATAGTGACATGGCTTTTAAACACATTTATGATATTTCCATATAGATTAGAATCTATGAATACAGCATTTGTCACGGACTGACTTTTTGTTTTTTTTTTATATTTAGAGGAATTTTATAAACATGGCAAAATAAACAGTAATCTGTTGTGGGAATTATTGTCAGTGTTTTATTTTCTTTATATTGATATCGAATTTATCATATCAACTGAAATTAAGAAAGCTATTCTGATATATCTTTTTGCTATATCCTCAAGTCCTATTTGGACGCTATCACCTGCAAATCTGCGATTTTGTTTGTCTATATGGACCAAAATTTGTGAGGAAGTTCCAACGCTTCTAAGTAAAATCCATGTTGCGAGAATTAAGGAAGTTCTGAAGGCAATAGGGGTTCCAACCTATTTCTATAACATGTATCAAAATGACAATTGAGTGTATGTAAAATGACAAATGAATATACCGTACAGTTTAGATCTACAAAAGATGACAACAAAAGCTATTTATATTTAATGTAGTTAATTTCTCTCACTGAAATTTACCCTCACCAGTACTTGCAACACAAGCACAAAGCCTACTCTCACCATTCATTTACTCAACAGTCAGACATATGTTGTTTCAATAAGAGTACAGTGTTTTTATGTATCTTATTTTCAGAGATTTTTGTGTTTATGATCGTTATCCAGCTTCTGCAACTGCAAGCTATAGTAACATATCTACATCAAAAAGTGAGAATGAATCTATATGGAGCTTGTTAGCTTCTCGTTGCTTCAGATAAATCCATTATTGTAATTCCCAGGTGATATGCAGATGCAAATACCATAAAACTGAATATAAAAATATGAATAGAATGTGAAATATTTTTGAAGGGCAGAAATTAGAGAACTGAAAGCAAATAATGCTCTTCAATTTGCATAGACTGCCCTTTCGAAAGTGTTACAAACAAAAAAGATCAGGAAAATGTCACTGTAATCTTATTTTAAAATCATTTTTGCAAATTGAACAAAAAGAATCAGAGATGCACTTCAGTGACATAGCTTTAAATGCAAAAGATCATTTTGAAAGCAGTTGCTCTTCTTTTTTGAAGTATTCACAAATCATATATAAGCTGACTTATTTAAGTAATGCAGTTAAAAAGTGAAACATATCTATATATGTGTAGATAGCTTCATTATAACCTAAAGATTATAACTGTTTACATTACAGCCCATACAAGCATGGACAGCACTGCCAGATTGGAATCTGTCATAAACACGTTTCATAAGGGTTGTAACTAGGGCTGCAACTAACAATTATTTTGCCAAACAGTTAATCTGTTGATTATTATTTGATTATTATTCGATTAATGATTGGATAGCCATAAGTTCCTTAAAGAAAATTTTTTACAGAATTAAACCACGTGAAACTAAAACTTTTCCACTTGAGGAATTCTGGATAGAGCATATTGACAGATGGAAAAATGTTTTATCTTAAAGATAGAATATATATTTATTATTAAACAATTTTGGTACAATAACTATTGCTCTGTTGGCTAAATGTACATTTTAGAATCTCAATACTCCAGTTAAAAATTAATCGATTACTAAATTAGTTGAAGATTATTCCGATAATCTGTTAATCACAATGAATCTGATTAATTGTTTCAGCCCTAGTTTAATTAATCATAAAAGAATGATAGTAAAGTGGCTGGATATTGCAAACAGCTGTATCTAAGCATATTTATGGAAAGTTTAGTAGAAGGAAAACCCTTGGTAGAAGAAAAGTGGAGAATTGTCAATTTACTTTAACTTCATTTGAATTAAATTAAATTCAGTTTAATTCTATAGCGCCAATTCATAACACAAGTCATCTCAAGGCACTTTACAGTTAAACCAGATTATACAGTAAAACTGTTTCAAATTTTTCAATCTAAGGAAAAACAGTTGATTGCATTGACTCTTCAGCATTCCCTCACACTAAGCATGCTTGTAGCGACAGTGGAGAGGAAAAACTCCCTTTTAAAAGGAAGAAACCTTCAGCTGAACCAGGCTCAGTGTGAGCGGCCATCTGTCGAGGCCGACTGGGGTTCAAGGAGAGAGAAGCAGAGATACAAAAAGAATTCAAAAGCGATCATAAAGACATAGCAGGTGATGTAAAACTAAAGGAAAGAGATATTGCAAGACCCAACTCAATGTCAAGTGCAATGTGATTAGTAAAGTACTAATGCATCATGTTAATTAATTGTAAATAGCAATTAATGTTATGCTGTAATGTTACTTTAACTGGGCAAACATCCATCCTGAAACCTGAGCCAGCAAACATATTATAATACAGAACTTATAAGATATAAAAGTATAGTGAAGATGAATCCGCGTCTTAAAGTGTCCAGAGTTGACCAACAGCCAGCAGGAGCAGATCCTTCCCACTGAAGCCGTGAGTCAGGACGCGCCCATCAGACTCACATCATGACTGAAAACCTCTGCAAATTGGAGACTTCGTAGAAATGATCGCTCAGTCTGTAAGGAAACATCATAGAGCCGAACCTTGCATGTCTTAATCAGAAGAGACGCGTTTTAATTCCTCCTCGTGTCTCTGCAGCGGTCCTGATCTCCGGGCTGGGAGGCTTGGATTCATCATCGGCATTTGCGCCGCTGTGAGGCGATGGCCTCTGGCTTATTCTTTAGTATTTGATTATTGCTAAAATAAAGATTCACAGAATATGACTTTGAATCGCAAACGGGCAGAGGAAACGTGTCCAAGCAAGAATCCGATTCCTTGCAGGAGGCGCACGTACAGCATTATAACGCAGCAAACGCATCACTCTGCCACGAAGAAAACATCAGAAATCTTATTTCTTTTTCTGTCCAAATCCTTCAATAATCTGCATTGCAGAAGGGTTGCATGAAGCTCCTTACCACTCAGCCTGAAGTAAACATCATCTCCCAGCTTTCAAATTAAAGCGCCTAGCTTCCCTCAGAATAATCTCTGATTATTTAGATTATAATCTGACCCAGATCTGCTGAAGGTGCCGCTGGTTCTTACCTTTTCCTGCGTCCGTCTGCGTGTCCTTCAGGATGCTCTCACCTGCTCAGCATCGCATCTCTGGGTGCTGAGAAGGAGCAGGGATAGAGGCTGGTCCAGGCTCAGTGGGTCGGAATGGATGGAGGGGCTGTGCTTGATGGTCTAGGGGGCGCTAAAACCGCTTGTGCCATTTCCATGTGGCCCCCACGCTGGGATCAGCTGTGCCACTTAGGGTTGAATTTTTTCATATTGGCAGGAATTTAAGTTCACATTCAGTTCTGTTCTGCTTCTGCCCTTGATGCTGTTTAAAAAAAAATACAAGTCATGTTTTTTGTTTTATTTCCAGTGGAAAAAAAAAAAAAAATCTTCTTTCCCTGTTTTTTTCTTTGTGACTTCATGCTTTCCGCTTCCATTTCTCCATTCTCCTGCAGAAAATAGACACCTGCTCATTAAGCCTCTCCATGCTGTTACTTTGATAAACCCTCTTAGCTGTAAACAGAGTTTCAGGTCTTTTGAGATGTATCTATAGAAAGTAAAATTCCTACCTATTCTTCTCCACGGTTCAAGCTTCGATAGGTTAAACAGTGTTTCTATAAATTTGTTTGTCTAATTTCATGTCACAATTTCTCAAATGGATTTAAATAAGTTATTTCATAATAACTAATGCTTTAAAAGCATTTTTTAAGTCTGTTGTATCTGAGCAAGGTAAACCAACAAACTACACTCAGATCTTTTGCAGCATCTAGCAGGTTTTAATCTAGGATCGTTGTTAATTATTATTTATTTTTTCAAAATTATCTTTCCATCAACTCTGATCAGCCTTCCTTACCAATGGCTGAGACTGACCCAGAGCATGATGCTGCCACCACTGTGTTTCTGTGTGGCAGTGGTTTCCACACTAGGTTCAGCTAATTTCTAATTTCATGCAGAGTTTTGCAGCTTTGGTCTGATTTGCAGATGTTTTATCCTTTCATGACTTGAAGTAGACTTTACCAGCAGTTTTTAAAGACTCTTTCAATAGTCACGTTCTCCTAGCCACCCTCCCATGAAAACCAAAAGGAGTTTATAACTGGTGATTTTATCCTGGTTCTGTCAGAGATCCTCTTGGCATTTTATGTTGATAATTGTCTCACTGTCTCGTCAACTTAGTTGAATAGCCATGTGTTGATAGATTTGTTGGACCATTCTTTTTAATTAGATACTTGTTGAACATTTCTCTGTGAGATATTCAGAGCTTAGCATATTGATTATCAAGCTGACCCGGCTTTGACTCTCACAATAACGTCCTCCTTGGTCTGTCTGCAGCATTCTTCTGTCTTAATGAGGCTATTTAATCGCCAAAGTTCTCTAACAACAGAACATTTGAAGCCTGGTTAGAAGAATTGTATTCATCTCAACAGAAACTCACACATAAATGAAAATTAAGTAACTTCTCAAAGTAACTGCTTGTGCTGGAGTTTATTTAGAGGTATCTAGTAAATGGGACTACATACATATGTCTGCTCAGTACACCTTTTTAGATTTTCATTTAAATAAAAAAAAGAGAACAAACAGACATGAAAAGTTATCTGTTACTATGTAGATTTGTCTCTTCAAATCCCTATAAAATACATAATGTCCATGATTCCAACTCAAAATCATTGAACTTCACTTAGATGTGGATGTCTTGCAAGGCATTTTCTTTTTTCAAAGCTCAGTATATATTTCAATTGAATTTGTAAAACGTATAATAAAGTAATATTCTAGTTTGCTTTCCCTAGAGGAAAAGCATACACTTTAGAGCTATCAGCAACCTTCATTTCCTATAAATGGCTATAAATACTTAAACCTGAGTTGGATTTTATTATTTAAACAGCAGAAAGTTTGAGCATTCTAAAAAGCAGCGTGGTGAGTCTAGATCATTACTGAGTGTCTTACATACCTAGTTTAACATAAACATAAACACTGACTACTGCATTAAACAGAACTAGTCTTACCACATTTATCCCCTTCTGCCACTTATTTGACTTCTACTTCTTACATTTTCTAATTTTTCATTGGTACTCATGGCCTGTGCTGAATAACAGATTATTTAATCCAGACCACTGTTCTAAGTGTGAATATCACATAGTTATAAAGGCAAGTATTTGTCTTTAATGTACCATTAAAAAACACCTGAAATATTTTTATGTAAATATGTATTTCCATTGTATTGTAATGAATCAATGGCTGTAGTATTTCAAATGTCGGCATACATCGTTTCATTGCATGTGTTAAAAAAAAAAGTATATTTCTTTGGATTTCACGTGTTAGGCTATAGTTGTACTTTGGAAGGAAAGAGGTAAAAGGTTAAAATAATAAAATAGAATCTTAAAAAAAAAAAGTGCGGCATGTTTTCATATCCACATCGCTTGAACTAGCAAACAAACATTTCCCACAATTATTGTATGGCTACAAAATAGCTAAAACTCAGATAAGAGAAAATCTCAAGAGAAAATCTACGCTTGGACAGCACCCTCCATATATATATATAAATATAAATAAATACCCATTTAATACCCTTTGCAATAATTCGGTATAATAATCCTGCTAAATAAGAAACTTCAGCTGTCATGTGGATGGACTGCATGTATTGGATATAACCCCATGCACCTTTTTCTCGAGTAACTAGTAAATTTCTCCACTATATATATATATATATATATATATATATATATATATATATATATATATATATATATATATATATATATATATATATATATATATATATATATATATATATATATATATATATATATATTTCTTAATCCATTAATTTTGGACATAGATGAGATATATGTTTGCATTATTAACCATGTCCCTGCTTTTCATCTGACACATATCAAAAGGGCACCTCTACTAATTATAACACTGAGCACATGAGTCAAACCAAACATAGAACCATCTCAATCCCTTGAGATTAGATTCAAATCTTGGATGTAAACACCAAACAGCCAAATAATAATCTGCTCCTCCAGACGCCCGCCCCTATAAATAATTCAGGAGTCTTTGAGATGGAGCCGGAGTGGAATTAATTGAAGGACTTAACCTTATTGGGTGAATTTTAGGGAAAATATATTGCAGAAGTTCTTTCTATGTACTCATAAACTGACTTTGTGATCCTGCTGCAGCCCTTTTTATGGTGAAAATGTAAGCTTTCTTCCTTTTGTGATGTTTTTCTGAGTTTTGTCTTCTTTTTGTCAAAAAATACTTTCCTTCCTCTAAGATAGGCAGCATTATTATCACAGAGGGGAAAAAGACTCAATCTTCAGCCCTAAGGGGGAACAAGACAAAAACTGGTCAAAGAAACTCAGTAAGACCAATCAAATTCATAGATTCATCAAAAGAGTGCTGTAATTTGCGGCCCAAAAGGATATTGTGTTGAATGTGGGTTATCTGAGATGCATTCAACGTTGAGACAAACACTTTTGTTCCTCTTCCTACTAGGCAGCGCAAATAGAGATGGATCCTGCTGGTTAAAAAAACATTGTTACAAGGTCGGTCTCCAGGGTGGATTAGAGGAACAGCAAACACCCTGCTGTTTGAGGAAAAGAATAGGTGGCTGTCATGTATCCGCCTGGCAGCAGAGGAGGAGCAGGAGAAGGAGGAGGGGCACAGAGACATGGGTGGAAAGGAGGGAGGGAGAGTAAATGTGATTTAGCCTCAATAATCTTCACAGGGTCTCATGCAAAAAGGTATCACCCCCAACCCATCAACCCAAACGCATGTAGCAATGGGGGGTTGCAAGGAGAGTATAGAAAGCCATCATATGAGCATATTGACCTCCTGAGAAGAACCAGGCTACTTGGGTTAATGGAAATACTGGTGAAAATCTGATAACCTCTTAAGAAGAAATGAATTCTCCCCCAATAATACCAGTTTTCATCTATGCTTTCAAAGATGTCTGCTTTTGTTGTTTATATGTTTGCTGAAGCTTCAATTTGGGTTCAGTTACACTTCAGCTTTATGTAAACATGTTTTGCTAACAGCCTTTCCTGTTAACATTTGCACGGGGTTCTATCTTGTTGATGTGCTTTCTTTTTTTAAACAAATTGAAGCTATTCTTTAATTTCTCATTTCATTAAAAATTATGCATATATAGAAACAAATTACATTTTTGTCTAAAGGATATTTAGAAAGCAGCAATCTCTTTGGATATATCCTAAGATAACCCAATATTCTGGCTAATGAAGGGTGGCATTTTCTAAGTGAACCCTTAATAAATTTCATTTCTACCACAAACATGCGCTATGCCATGCATATATACTCACTATCCAATCATTTTTAATAGATGCACCTTACAAAAGTCCCATTGAATTCACATTTCCTTTTCAATTTTATTTGCATCAATTCCATCTTGCTGTTCCTTAGATATATAACGACATGATAGCGTCACAGTCACAGTCACAGTACGTACATTGGCTGCACATTCATGAGGTAAATGTCATTTTGATGCATACCGTATCACATTTGTTATGATGCTGTGATTGTAGAGGGCCTTGGTATACAGTGAACTAACTGTCATGTAGATTAGATTAGATTAGATTCAACTTTATTGTCATTACACAGATACAGGTACAAGGCAACGAAATGCAGTTTAGGTCTAACCAGAAGTGCAATAGCAGCAAGTGCAGGATAAATATTGGTTCCATAAACACAGGACATGGGTTTTTACTGAATGAGTATAGAGATGAATACCATTATATATAATGAATATAAAAATATAGTTTACCAGTGTTATGAACTAAATTTACAGCTGGATATGTACCGAATATAATATACAGATGGATATTACCATAAAAAGGGTTTTTACAGTTATGTACAATAGCATATATAGAGGAAACCAGTTGAAGTAGTATTATTCTGAGAGTATATGGATGTTAAATGATAATATTAAAAAGATGTTCTCTTGGTTCCAAGAGATGGCAATGTACAAAGAAAATATCTCCCACACTGTAACAACTTCAACATCCAACCTGAGTCAATGAGACTGAATGATCTGTACCCTCATGTTGTTTTTGTCTAATTCTTACCCAACCATTAGAATTTTGCCACTGAAAGCGACACCTATTATATCAGACAGCCTTTCAATTCTGCTTCCAGTGACTCTATGTGAATTGTAGCCTCAGTT